AAATCCCATTTGTCTACATCTCTAAATTTAGGTGTGATTATGAGACTATGAAGCCTCCTTACGCTCCGCTCCGTCTGCAGGAGTCTAAGACCTGCTCTCAGAGGTCTGCTTGCCAGTGCTCAGAGCTGCCAGGCGGGGATCCTTGCTTCCTTCCATCTCGCCGAGTTCTGATCACGTGGTGGGCGCTGGATTGAGCATTAACGTTCATTCTCTTGTAATCCTCACTTCAGTTTTGCAGATTGAGGACCCTCGAGCTAGGAGTAGGACCAGTCACCCACGGTAATAATGGATGAGCCCAGTCCTATGTGCCCCAGTGTTTCTACACGTAGCATTAGCCTTACACTCACCGCTCCTGGTATTTCAGTGAATTACAACAGATATCCCTGGAATGGCTTCCGCCCTTTTCAGCCCTATGTAGTCAGCCCTGTTGCCAGGCCCTGTGCCACTCAAAGCTGGAGGAGCACAGCACACACTCCAGCTCGGGGAGCACCGCCTAACAACAAAAGACCACTTCATTTTTCATTGAAGAACTGGAGTTAAAGGGCTCCACAAAGTGTGATTTGTAATGACTTTTGGAGCCCTAGGAATCCCCACGACACAGTGGGTTATGCACAGGGCTGCTAGTCACAAGGTCAGCAGTTCAAAACTACAGCCGTTGCACAAGACAAAGATGAGGCTTTGTATTCCTGGAAAGAGCGACAGTCTTGGCAGCCTCCAGGGGCAGTTCCACCCTGTTCTTTATGGCCACTCTGAGTGGGAATGGACTCAGTGGCAGTGCAAATTGAGAGTTTGGAGTCCTGGTGGTGCTGATGGCCAAGTGTCAGACTGCTCATCACAAGGTTTCAGGTTCAAACCCACCAGCCTGGAGGCAGTAATACAGTCATTAAAATAGGAGGCTCATTTTAATGCTCAGATAAAGAAGCTTCAAAACAAGCTCAGAAGCCCTGTGTGGGCTTGTAAGAGAATTTACTCTGTGGCAGTGGGTTAGGTGGGGGTTAGTTGCGGGGCGGGGCGGGGGGCGGTAGCCGAGCAGGGTCTCACTGGGTTCAGAACAAGAGCTCCCTGACCATCTCGTTAAATACTCTCATTCCACCACCACAAATGAGTTTGAGCTTGCAGAACTGGGACATTGTCAGGGCTGCAGTGGGTCAGCTGGGAAGCAAAAGTGGGAAGGCTGTTTGCTGATCTACGGCTTTCCAGATCAAGGTGACCAGAGGGGTTTTTCCCAGCACAATTCACACGCATTCTGGGACAGTTCTTTTACTGATGCTGAATTAAGGAGACGCTTATGGCCCCCTTAGAAGTGAAGAGAGTTAACTGCAACCGAGAGACTAGATTCCAATTTGATTTGTTGTGTTGATCATCGCCCCGATCTAAGCACTATTTGTAAATTGATTCTGTGATCCTAATAAATCAACAAAAGCATTTAAAAGTCAGAAGTCCAGCCTTTGTTACTGTTTCTGTCCCACATATTCATCGTGTCTTCTGGGCCGTTTATGCTGACCACAATCGGTTCTGCTTCTTCAAGGCTCTTCGAAACCAGCCTTGCCAGAGCTACGTGTGGCATTTCAGCACCCATTTTCTGTTGCCATAGAACGAAAATACTGGAGCTTCTGAAGAACTCCGTCCGCCTTGTGAACAGAGGAGCTGGGTGGGCTCAGGAAGTTACCTGAATCCCTGCAGACCTTTGATGTCGAGCCGTGTGGGTCTCGGCACCGCCTGGCCAACCAGGGGTGGGACTGAACTTGTGCTTCCTTCAGCTTTATGTGTTGGGACTTTCCAGATCATGGAGTGGAACCAGTAACCCCTGTACACAGGCCAGTGTACAAATATGATTTTCCCAAACTGTTCCTTGTTTCCTAAAGGAAAGTCACACCAAAACAAAGGCATGTGGTTTGGGTCTTGGTTCTAAATGTCCGTTGATTGAGGAAAAGCGTATGAGAGTTGGAATCCCAAGTCCTGACAATCCAGGCGAAAGCATACTACTACTAAAGTTTCGGCACCGTGTGTTCTATCCAACTGAGGAATCGGCTCTCGTGGGCTCTGTCTGGTCTTTCTCACCTAGAGCTTTACAGATGTGAACTTCTGTAGTGATAGCTCAGAACAATTCCAGAGGTTTCGAGATTAAGAATCCGAGCTGTTATATTTCTGTATACTTGTTATACTTCTATACAATTTTATTTTAAAATCCTTAGAAGTAATAAAGCACCTATCACTCTACTTTTAAAATGTTTCAATAACATAATTACAATTCTCAATCCCACCGCCTTGCTAAGAAGACGCTGTTAGAACATTTGAGAACATACTGCAGGTGTCAAGTCCATTTGTCCATTTACATATAGAATATATATATGTATATATATGTGAGAAAGCATTGTTCTAGAATTTGACTTTTTAAAACCTTATACCAAAGAAATAAAATAAAACGTTTCTAAAAGAGAGAAACTGTAGGCAGATTGGAAAGCCGTCCATACAGGCGCTTAATGGATTAAAGTACGTAGCCCTTTTACCCATCTTACGGCTCTCATGTGCTGTTGGGCACTGGATGCGTGGCCAGTTCACAGTGAATGTGCTGGGAGAGTAGCATGTACGCTGGGTTCAAAGACTTAGTATGAAAAGAAAGAGTGAATTTTCTGAATAGTTTTGATATTGAATACGTTTTCAATGGTAATATTTTGGATATACTGAGTTAAGTAAAATGTAGCAGTACATTTAATCTCACCCAGTTTGTTGTTGTTCTGCTTTTAATGTGACTGTTAAGAAATTGTTAAATTACACCTGAGATTTGCGTTTATTTGTGGCCCAAGTTCACTGTCAGATGGTTCTGGTCTTAGAACACCATAACCTCCTTCACAGTCAGGGAACATGACTGAGGAACTTGCAGCCCTAACCTCTGTTTGATTTTCTTACATTTCAAAGGCTGTTTTTCTACATCATCTTTGGGGTTTTAGTTTTTTCTTCTTCTTCTCCTCCTCCCTTCCCAGTAGTGGTTTGAGCTGCATCTCCCTTTGATACCAGCAAATCTCCAAGGAATGTAACAGGCCTCAGTGAAAGCCTTCCTTGCGTCTCATTCATATGTTCAAGTGAGATCATTATTCCTAATAATGGCTTTAAGTGCTTAGATAGATCAGCACTTGGTGTCTTGAATTGCTTGTCATTTCTTTATAAAGGTGTTTCGTGCAATTGCGCCATGTGATCTTGTCTTTCGTTGTTTTCTAGTAAAAAGTAACACAATCCTCTATTTATTGGAAGTCAGAAAAGGGAAAAAAAAGCTTTTCTCTGAGCGGAAACAACAGCGTATTTCCAAATACGGAGAGTAAGGAGTAAAACTGGTCATGAATGATAGTCGTGTGGAAGTTAAGTTTTAAAAGAAGTCGTGAATACACTGGCAAGCAGCAGTGGCTTAAGCCTCTACGGATTTTCCCATATGCTCCCGCCCAGGTTGTAGTCAGCTGCAATGAGCACACTATGTAACTAACTCCCAGAGAAGGAGAAGTTGCTCCGGGGACTTCATACTATGGTAGTCATGGAAGCATCCGTTAGCTTCATCAAGGCAATTCAGATTTCATTATTGGAGAATTGTGTGGAATACCAAACCAGGGGAGTAGTCGCTGGAGCGAAATCAAGGGATTGTCATTTTTGTCAGATGATTAGGGCTGGCTTGGAAGAGATATGAAAGGGTTGAGCTATGTAAATATTCTCTCTTCAGCAGAAAAAAAAGACAAGGTCCACCGTGGCCATTAAGATGCAGCTTGTTATCTTGATGAATTTCAAACTATTTAACCTTAGTGATTATATACATACCCTTGCCTCCATGCAAGCCCATCAGTGCTTTGAGATTATGTTTCCAAGGATTGATACCAAAGCATATTGGTAGTTTTGCTTTAAGATAAAATGCAGCCTTTCCGTGTCTAGTGACAGCTCCCAAAGGACATGGCCTATTTATTAGCCTGAGTTATTTGTTCAGGTAAACAGCAGACTATATCGGCATGAGTTTTTAAACTTTTTTATGGGAAATATATTTAATTTCAAATATTAGAGATGGTAATAAGTCATTCAGGTTGTATTATTATATTACTATATCTGCAGTCTCAAACTGGAAATATATTTAATTTTTATTTGACTCTAAGGGACTTGATACATTTAAGTCATATTGTAACACATGTGGACGCACCTCACCCAATGACTCACTGAAGTTTCTCCAATGTTTATAATTTACATTAAATGCCCGAAAGGGCACTTCATGGTTTTTGTTGTTCCAGTTTTGCCTTAACTGATTTTTATCACTGCTTTTATGAAAATCTGCGCTGGTCAACTTGCCTTTGTATTATGGCGGTTATCCTGCTAATATTTCTAGTACCTGGCACATTTTGGGTACTTATTAAGCTCATAAATAAGAATACATGACAGAAACTGTTAACTTTAAAAGAATGGCTGAATTCTGGAATAACTATTTTAGGCGAAAAAAGGCTCAGTGTGCCATCTAGTGGACATATTTGGCATTGTGGTTATTACATACTAATTTTTACTCCACCAAAATGCAGCTTCCGTCTGGACACATTGTGGCCATTAGCATAGCTTGTCCTTCATCTCATTGTATATTTTTTCAGTTTTGTAAAGAGTAATTGTCTCTGATTGTATTCTAGAAAATCAAAGGCATCAAACATACGCGATGATACATCTGTGTGAATTATGAAACAAGCAAAAAGAAATTACAGTTAAATAACGTTGACGATATTCCAGGACTGAGAATTCAGTGAAAGACCAAACCTGAACAATAAGCAAAATCCCCCAATAAAATGATTTAGTAATTAAAAAAGATTTTTAAGACAGCATTTGGGGTGAAAGAAATAAAAGCAGAATCAAGCATATTAATTATTAAACTTTTATTATTATGCACATTTTTCCAAAGGAATCTAGAAACAGTAACTTCAATCCGTTTTTAGATGTGTATATGTAGTTTTAAGTTATATGTTTTAAAATTTGTTTTTGTTGTTTAGCGAAATCCAAGACCAGTCACTTATCAATTCCATCAAAACCTGGATTATTACAAAGCCCGGGGAGCAGACCTCATGAACAAGAGCCGGTGAGTGCCCCCTTCTCTGGTGAGAACCCTCCCAGAGACACCCGAGGTGGTTTGGGAATTGTACGCATTTGCTGCAAAGGCATTTTCCAGATTTTTGTACATCTGTCTCAGGGCACCTCATGCACCTTTAAGTAGCTGTCATCCAGGTTATTTAAAGGCAGGAGAGAATTAGATACATTGATGTGTCAGTGGTATTATGAAAAATTAAGTAAATATAAGCCTACTTGTTAGAATTTTAAGTTCGACAACTGCATTTTTCTAACACTCATAAACCTGAACAAATTGTGCCTACTTATATAATCTCTCCTTACACTCTTGCCGTTGATTGAAAAGAGGCAGTTCTATAATATATTTTTGAATTATTTCAGTAACAAAATTAAAATTGGGTTTCCCAACTGTCTTTAGAACTACACAATAAGCTTATAAATGCATCTTGTGAGTGCATTTGTGATTATATACATAGAAATTTTAAGGGTCACTGTAGGAATAAAAAACATTAAAATCCTACTTTTTAAAGAAATTAACATTGGCATAAAGGGTTGATGAACAGTTGTGTTCTTTCATAATACTGTACGCAGATGTCTCAAGAGTTAACTTGTCAAACCCGAACCATCTCAAATTAGAATGCAATTTCAAAGTTTACTCTGGAAGACAAAAATGGCAGTAATGATAAATGCTGCCAAGCTGTCCGAATTTTCTCCCTGCAGCCCATTACGGGGGCCAGATAGACTGCGGTGGGAAGCCACCGTCGAACACATGTAACGGAATGCCTGCACACGTGCGTGCGCTACTCTCCCTGGAGACTTCAAAAGACAGCCTAGCTCCTACCTGTAGAAACTCAGCATCTAAGGAGTAGGAAGAGGTTTGCAAGCAAGTGGCTGCATTCACATTTGCATTTTGAGCCCTGTCAGTCTAGTAGTACAATTATACAGTTAACCACCCTTGATGGAAATCTGATTGTTCCATATTTTGGCACGCCGTGCAATTATGAGACCGGTTCGATAGCCCAGGAGACATCCCTGCTGCTCTCATGTGTGTTCATTACATTGGGTCCTTGTTTCCTTAAATCAAGGCTCTCCCCTCTAACCTCTGCCTCCATTGATTTCAGCAAGTACTCATCGCGTGTCTGACCCCCGTTAGTCCAGGCACTAGAGATACCAGTGGACCAACCGGATGGAAATCACCTGTCCTTGGGAGCCGTTCAGCCTGGTCTCAAGTATTTCCTTCCCTATTATATCTAGCAGTCCGGGGGCTTTAGAAGACACTATAGGTCCTTTATTCATGCAACATCTTTCTAGCGGAAAGGTCCTTCTGAGAGTGGCAGGGAAAAGAAGACAAGCAGGTTCCTTTCCCACGAGAGCCACGCTGATCTCAGTTGTAACAGTCAGTGCACACCCCCACTCTGCCCCTCACTCACTCCCTTCCCCCACTCTCATTTTAAGCCCCTCCAAGGTCATCCCATTTGGGACAGTCGAGGGACAGCAAAAAGGTCGGCCCTCAGTAAGATGGTTGGGCACAGTGGCTGCAGCCATGGGCTCAAACCTAAGAACTGTCACAATGTAGCAACGATGAAACATACAACTTGTCTCTAGTACCTAAATGGACCCCTGCCCACTATCGTGATCCCAATTCTACAGTACAAATCTAGCTAGACCAGAGGATGTACACTAGTACAGATAGGAGCTGGAAATGCAGGACAGATGATCCCTTCAGGACCAGTGCTGAGAGTGGTGATATGGGGAGGGAGGTGAGTTAGAAAGGGGGAACTGATCACAAGGATCTACATATAAGCCCTTCCCTGGGAGACAGAGAACAGAAAAGTGGGTGAAGGGAGATGTCAGACATGACAAAATAATACTTTATAAATTATCAGGGGTTCATGAGGGAGGTGGGGCAAGGCGGGAGAGGAAAAATGAGCTGATACCAAGGGCTCAAATAGAAAATGTTTTGAGACTGCTGATGGCAACAAATGTACAAATGTGCTTGACACAATGGATGGAAGGATGGTGATGAGTTGTACGAGCCCCCAATAAAATGATTTTTAAAAAGAACTGTCGTGAGGATGGGGCAGAGGGTGGAGTGAGTCTGCGCGACTCCATGGCACCTAGATGACTGCTGCACCGTGGTGATGCCCTTTTCTTCTGACCCTGCACTCTCCCTCTGGCCCTCTCTCCTTTCTGCACGCCTGTAGAGCCCTGGTGGCTGCTAACTGAAAGGTCATCAGTTCAAATCCACCAGTTGCTTTGTGGGAGAAAATGAAGGCTTTCTGCTCCCGGGAAGATGTGTGGAGCTGCAGTTCTACTTTGTCCTGCAGGGTGGCTGTTCGTTGGAATCAGCCCGCTGCCCATGAGGTTTTGGTGTCTGGGGCTCCCATGGGACTGTTGGCTAAGTGCTCAGTTGCTAAGGAAAGGCCGGTGGTTTGAACCTACCAGCTGCTCAGCAGGAGGAAGTTGTGGCCGACTGCTTCCCTAAAGATTAAACAAACAAAAACCCTGCTACTGAGTGGATTCTGACTCTTATAAGCTGGCAATCTTTACACGAACAGAGAGCCACATCCTTCTCCCACAGAGCAGCAGGTGGTTTGGAACCCAACCCGACTTTGGGGAACCCCTGACCTTAGCCACCCGACACGTAGCCGATAGCCCCACCTGAGCACTTGGCCTAAAGATTGCAATGTAGTTAAACCCTGTGGGTCGTTCGACTCTGTCCTGTAGGGTCACTGTGACTCAGAATCCACTCACTGGCGGTGAAGATGCTGCAGCCACACTGACCTTTTCAATGTCTTGATCTTGCTTGAGGCCTTTGCCTAACACTTCCCTCGTCCCCTGCTTGTCCACTACTTACAGAGCAGTCCAGGGCCCCTCAGCTCACGCTGACCCCTGCTCTCTCCACTCCCTGCCCTGGTGTCCAATCTTCTATCTATCTTCATAGCAATCATTACTAATGATACTTAGAATTCATTTATGTATTAATTTTTATATTTTAGTAGGAAATTGATCAACTTCCCTACTAAAATACAAGGACAAGCAACTGATTTCATTCACCGAGACTGGGTCTGGCGTAGGGAAGGCACTCAACTAATCTGTAAATATGCATGTTTTATCTCTACTTTTTTTCCCCCCAGCATCTGTTTTCCTTCCATCCAAAAACAAAGGCAATGAACAATACCTTTTCCTTTTCTTTAGTTCCTTTTTTAAAATAAGGGAGCCCTGGTGGCGTAGTGGTTACGTGTTTGGCGGCTAACTACATGCTAGCAGTTCAAAATCACCAGCCGCTCTGCTGGAGAAAAATGACGCTTTCTACTCCCGTGAAGAGTTACAGTCTTAGAAACTCTTAGGGTGCATTCTATCTTGGCTTGTAGGGTCACTATAAGTCTGCATCCACTCTATGGCCATGAGTTTGGTTTTGAGAGGTTTTTTTTTTAATGAATTTTTGTTATTGATCAAGTCCTTGATTCTGTACTCAACTCTCTCCCATATTTTATCCTCCTCACCCAATACCTCTTCCTTTCTACCCTTCATATTTTTATCTTTCTTCTATTTGGTTTTCTGTCCTTAAATTTTTCTTCTGCAAAATGTCGATTCTTTTGTACAGATAGCCTTTGTAAGCACTTTGAGATTGTTACACAAAGTACCTTGTGATGACCAGAAGGAAGACTTCAGCTCCGTCATAATACACTTGGACTTGAAGTGAAATCTAGTGTGATGGGAAGTCATCGCGACAGGGAGCGAGTGCAGAGTAAAGGAATGGTACTGGGGAACCTTACCAGATACCCAAACGAACCCCAAGGGAACCGGGTACAGACAGACAAACCTGGGAACGGAATGCAAATACTTGTCTGGTTTTAGCCCTCAAGGCAAGGGAAAGGAATCACAAAGAATAAAAGACTGGTGGGTTTTTACTCCCCAACAAACATTTTTAAGAAAAGATGTCAAGAACGACACAGCGAAGCAAAAGAGAAACAGAAAATTGGGAAAATGTTTGTAGTAGAGGTGACTGATGAGTGTTAACACCATTGTCACATAAAGAACTTGCGTAGCTCAAAGAAGCACAAACTTCCCTCTCAGCAGTCTTATGCTGGCCTCACAGCAGCCTTTCTCTGCCTCTGACCACTGGAGCGCCCCGCCTTCGTTCCTCCTCTGTGTGCACTCCCTGAGGGACCTCACTCCGGGCCCACGGCTTTAAGGACCACCATACAAGGGGGGCAGTGTGTCTGATCTGGTTTTGGTATAGCAGAATGAAGGATCCCTGATGCTGTGGGCTAAAGCATTGGGCTTACTAGCCATAGGGTTGATGGTTCAAATCCACCAGTCCCTCCACCGGAGACATACGAGGCTCTTTGTTCCTGCAGAGATTTACAGCTGTGGAAACCGAAAGGAGTAGTTCGGTATGGGGTGTTATGATTCAGAATTGATTTGATGGCAGTGGACTGGTTTTTAGATGGCAGAATGTCCTAAATTTGCATCTCTAGTTTGACCTCTTCCCTTGAACTCCAGACTTCCCTGCTGGTATTCTACTGCTTCCTCCATAGCGCTTCTTGAATGTCTCACATGCACCTCAAATTTAATACTCCCCAGCCTGAGCGCAGCGCTGTGTCCTCTCCCCACACTTACGGTAATTCATTCTGTATGCTGAGCAAATCAGAGAAGCTGGATTATATGAAGATGGATACAGCATCAAGATTGGAAGAAGGCTTATAACAACCTGTGATATGCAGATGACACGGCCTTGCTTGCTGAAAGTGAGGATGACTTGGCGCACTTACTGATGAAGGTCAAGGATTACAGTCTTCAGCATGGATTACACCCCACTGGGAAGAACACCAAAATCCTCCCAACTGGACCAGTAGGTAACAGTACGATAAGTGGAGAAAAGATTGGCGTTCTCAAGGGGTTAGCCTTCCTTGGCTCCACAATCAGTGCTCATGGAAGCGGCAGTCGAGAACCACTGAGGCGTTTCACTGGGTCAAGACCTCTTCAAAGCATTGAAAAGCAAGGCTG